AGGATCTGGAGACCTTGGCCACTGTGGGTGAGTGCCGGCGGGGGGATGCTGCTGCCCCGCCCCGCGGTTTCTTTTCCGCCTTGGCGCGGAGCGCAGGCTGCGGGCAGCGCCGGGATGGGCACCCTGCCCTGGGCGTTGTGGGCTCTGCAAGTCCTGTCCTCGTGTGCGGGCTCGCACACGAGTGCACGCGTTATATGTATGTGCGTGCACATGCCCACACGCACATACAGCGTGGACGTGCCTGCACGTATGCACACATGTCCATATGCACCCGCATGCCCATGTGCAGTATGGACGTGCCTGCCCTCATGCACATGCGTGCCCGCACACGTGCACGTATGGTGGACGTGCCCACCCTCATGCACACACATACCCGCACGTGGGCATATGGTGGGCATGCCTGCCCACACGCATGCGCTGTATGGATGGGTGTACCCTCATGCACATGCATGCCCACACAGCATGGGCGTGCCCACCCGCATGCACACGTGCCCACCCGCATATGCACACATGACTGCATAGACACAGCGCAGATGTGCCCACACACATGCATGTCTGCACACACGCACAGCAGGGATATGTGCACATGGACACGGATGCTTACACACATGCAGCACAGTCATACCGGCATGGACGTGCATGCCTGCCCGCACACAGTACAGGCATACATGCACGCACAGGGATGCGCACGTGTGTGCTCACGCACTTGGCATGCATGCACATGGCGCTCATGCGTGAGCACATGCACATGTGTGCGATTGCTTGTACACACATGCATGCGCACACATGCATATACACCCTCCCCATCCAAATGCTGTAGTAATAGTTGTTAACTTGCTTTACAGCTGCCTTGTGTGGTTATGTGTCAAAGTATGAATGTTGATAACAATACTACAAATGCGACTACTACTACTAATATAGTACTAGGCATCATTGGGAGCCTTCAGGGTTGCCTGCCTCATCAGATCTAGCGGCAAGATTGTTTTGGAACCACAGCTGAAGCCATTTATAACAAGACTTGGCCTGCCTGTGTGCATGGGGCAAGCAAGCATTATTCAGCACTAAACACTTTTTAGTAATAATACAGGTTGTATGCATCTTTGTCTCACTCATCCAAGTCGTGGTAATAGAAAGCCATGGTTCAAATACACTTCTTGGGCCACCAAAGAGAATCAGGTGTGTATGTGTATGGGGGGGGGGGGGTGGGGGGAGGG